TTCCTAAGACAAGATACTTGTATCTACGTTCGCCATTCTTTTTAATGAAACAAAGTAATACCAACTCTTTCAATTTGTCTTTTAGTTTGGAATGGGGAATACTTGTGTAAAGTGTAGAAAAGTCAAATGTTTTAATACTATTGCAAGATGAGAGAGTCTTAGATTGTATGTACTCTAAAAGATCTTTGGAATTTTTTAGTATCCACATCTGATTCACGCCACCTCTAGAATAGGCAGTTTCACAATAACGTTGGAGCCCGGCTTTGATTGCTGATAAAATAGATGTTAATAATTTAGAAAGAGGTTTCGTGGAGCGCTTGGAAGACCCAGCAATATACCGTTGTTTGTAAGGACACTTATGTAGTTTAGGTATCCAATACAGTGATGGAAGATCCAGTTCTTCATCTTTGGTTGAAATTCCAAAGGAACATAGAACAGACCTATGATTATCCAGGATTTCCTCTTTGGTAAGTGTCGTGAGGGTATATGTTGAGTTTTCAAGTGAATTGTCAATACCTAATTTATTTATCAAGCAGTTTATGTAATGATATTTACACACAAAAACGATGTTGTTTGGGGCTTTATCTGCGGGGACCACAACATATTTGTCATGGAGGTAGGACAAGTGTTTTGCAACATTTGGGTCTTTAAAAATTGATGTAGCGTGGGTGTTGATATGCCCATTTAGTTTCTTAATTCGGATTTGTATCAACGACCTCACAGCCTTAATCCATTCGGAAAGAGTATCTACGTCTTCTTTCTCGCATTTAGCCCATTGCCTGGCATAATCCTCGACTGAATCCATCAGTATTTTGAAGTTGTATTTCCAATTGATGGATTTAGGCTCACGATATTTCGGACCTTTGGATAACAAATTTCGCAGGGAAGTGTTATTGACAATGTTGAGGTCTCCGGTAATAACGTGGCCAGCCGGATTATATGTGAATTGGGAACTAGCACAGGAGCAATCAGGAGGTTTAGACTTGAAGTCGTCAATGTTGAGATCCTGCAAAACGTGTTTGTAATTGAAAATTTTAGTTGCAATTGGTTTGGTATAGGTAGAAGAAATTATTGGTACAGACTGATCTTTAAAATGAGGAGGTATTTTTGACTGAACTTATTTATGATGAAGGATATTGCCTAAGTTGACGCCATCGAGACCTTTGTTGGCAAAGGAAAGTTTAAGAAAAGATCTTTTCTCTTTTTCATCTTTTCCAATGCGAACTGGTTTGAAAAGTCTGTGACTTGCAATATCCGAAATGATAGCTGTAAGTTTGTATTGGTTTGAATGAGGGTTTGTAAAAGTGGTTTCCAAACATAAATTGAACAGAGAATGAAGTTTTGAAAGGGGTAATGAATACAGTTTCGTGCGAATGTGATGAATACCTAACGGCTTTTGTATAAATGGCAGCAAGTCATTAATAGAGACATCATGCAAAGTAGGTGATGTATAATGACGATGACCATGACTGCGTCTACGTCGAGGAGTAGAGTTGAAAATATTCATCACATTCACCGAGCTGCAGGAAGGACTAGATAGAATACCTATACCATCAATTTTGTCATTGCAACCATATGGTGTCGCAGTTCCCAATTGTCGAATCCAGTAGTCCTCTTTTTGTCTACGGAGAGGCGTTGCAAGTTGAGGATTGTTAGTCTTGTGGTATATTTTTCCGATTATACGAACTGTCATAGAAACGATGGAATGATCAGGCTGATTAAAATGCTGGTACAGAATGTCGTTTGCATTGAGGTTGATATCTGATCTATGGCCGCACATACGTTTGTTTAGCTTTCCTTTCGTTTCACCGACGTAAACCAATCCACAAAGGTTACACTCTAATCCGTAGTAATCATAAACGATGATTCAGAAATTAAACATAAATTTTGTACAAATGAGAACGACACAAGCTTACAAATTCGTGAACCAGTAACCACCGGTATATATAAATTATAAAACCTCATGCATGAAAGAATGTTAACACTTTCTTTTAAGAACAAGGGATACACAAGGTTGTTACTGACATAAACTATGAAATTAAATTTTACCAAGACAGCGAAAACTAAAGACAAAATAACTTGATTCCTACTGAGCTTAGAGGTACATGAAGGATAAACAGTTCATGTCATACTGGTGGCATCGGTTGTTATGATCATAACATGTAAAACAGGTAAATATTTGTTTATAAGCCAGAAATGGGGAAAGGAGGTCTTGTTGGTTTCAACGTCTAAGGAACTCGGGTCCTTTTGGCCTAATATATGTTTGCCAAGGGTTCCTTTGTTTTTATTCCTATTTTCTGGGTCCGTTCGCCCTACGTTATTATAACGTAATGACTTTAAATGGTAGATTAACATAATTTTGTTTTTCTAAATGGATTATGCTGAAAGTAAGTAATACTAAAAAGACATATGAAAAAAGTGATGCTAAAATTTATTAATCTTAAAATCCAGAACGAAAACGCCATAACAAATATTTAACTAAACTGAAAAAAAAGAAAAATATATTAACGGTATAATATATCTCTTACAGAAGGTTGAAAGAAGAGATGACATTAACTTTTAAAATTTTGAAATACTAAAGCACTGAGAGTGTTTCAGCTCTTTCCTAAAACTGCGTAGTGCATACCGGTAGCAAAAAGATTAAGTCGCAGAAAAACAGATAATACAATGTCCAGAACAAAAGACAAGAGTCCAAAATCACAACACAGCAAATTAAAGATTGAGCAAAAGAAGCACCACCAAATACCAAGCGGAACACGGGGAAAGAATGCAGTATCTGCTCCGCGGAACCTGTCGTATTGCCAATTATGCTATCCATTCGACCATAGCTTCCCAGTGAACTATAAACCCTTTATCAACGAAATCACGAAGGGAAACGCAAACCCTGGAATCAACACGGCGGTTTCGATTTCAAATTGCATAAAATGGAATATTTCAGTAATTCTGTTTTGTTCTCAACGGACCCTCACTGTCAATCACGAGATACAAGTAATAATACGAAGCAGTCTAACGGTACCTTTGATATCACGAATTACAAGTTTAGTGAGAAAGATGAGATCAACATACTAGTAATCACCAAACTTGAATTATTAATTGAGAGACAATCAACTCTTTATTCTCGATAATAAAAAATGCTAGCATCATTTATTCCTTATTTTTAAACCAATAAAGGAAAACACGTCATCTAGAAGGGAAATAGTTGATTCACTTAAAAAAATACCCGACTGTTAACACATCGTCCACCAACCCACAGTTATGTTGTAATTAAACACGATTCGGCATCTTCATGATGTTAGATTTATATATCTTTATGTTATGATCAATAGTTTTTACTAAATGTCATTTTTCCTTCCAAAAATAAGAGATATTTTTATCTACGTTTGCCCTATTTTCATAGAAAAAAAAATGAAAATATCTTTCAATATGCCTTTAAGTTTAGAACGAGTAACATTTGTGTCATGGGTGAGTTAAATGTTTATATTCTATTGAAAGAAGAGATGGATTAATGTTGGATGTACTCTTAACAGATCTTTATGTTTTTGTACTTCTAAGTATCCATTTCTCTACAAATGAAAATAACACTTCAGTAATTCCGTTACGTCCGAAGTACTTTTCTGGATTTACCTTCATCAGGAATATTCAAACCCAAACATTTGAAAGCCCCGGATGTAAAAGACATAAACACGTAAAGAGCTATATGCATAAAAAGTGACTTAAAATAAGATTAAACGAGAAAACCAACGGCCTGTATTTATAACAAAACAATGAATGAAAAACAAATACGACAGAAACGAACCAAGGTCAAGAAATGAATAACAGGCTCATGACTTGGGACAGGCTCATAAAAAATCCACCTAACCAGTTGTAACAGCACAACATACGAACTATAATTCAGTGCCTGTGTTGCTCACCTTGGTCTATGTGCATCTTCAATAATAGACACTCTCCAATATTGTGGACTAGACAAGAATTCATAACAAAAATCTCTTCTTTTTTTCGTTGATCTTGTTTTGCTGATATTTTTTTTTTGTTTACAGTTTCTCTATATCTGCTTTTGTTTTTGCCCAAAACACACAAAGGGTAAATACATTGTCATTTAAAGGCAATCACTCCTATAGTCTAAATAAATAACGATTTCCGTAAAATTTGACTTATTTGTAGATCTTGTCTTGCTCATCATTTTTGCTTCTTAGAAAGTGTCTATCTCTTGTTTGAAGACAATAGGCAAAACGTAAAATATTAGAAAATTGTCTAATAAGGAGCGAACTGGCGATTTCGGTAGACTTAATTGTAGTTCTTCCGAAGCACCTGAGATCACCCCCAGTTTTTGGTGGGGTTCGTGTTGCTTATTCTTTAGTTTTCTATGTTGTGTCATCTGTACTATTATTTGTCTGTTTGTCTGTTTATTTTTGGCCATTGCTTTCGATCTATGAGTTTGACTGTCCCACTGGTATCTTTCGTCCCTCTTTTTTCAACCATATTGACTTCTTTGTATATCTTGTCTTGCTGATCATTTTTGCCAGTTAAAGTTTCTCTCTACCTAATTTTCAAGATAGTAGGCAAACATGAAAAAAATAGTAAAATTGGTCATTCAAGAGCAATAACTCCTATAAGAAGTCGTCTGTTGTAAATAGACAATAGGTAGATCTCATCATTCTCAACATTTCAGCCTATGTAAGATTTTCAAGATAATAGACAAAACTTGCATATTAACCCATATGTTCTATTTTTAGCCATGTCAGCTATGTTGGTTAAAAGGCGGGATCATCAAACACATTTTTAAAACTAGATATCCTAATGATAATTTTGCCAGGTTTGGATAAATTTGGCCCTGTAATTTCAGAGGAGCAGATTTTGTAAAAGTTTAAGACAACAGACAACAACGGACGACGGATGTCAAGTGATGTGAAAAGCTCACTTGGCCCTTTTGGACATTTAAACCTTAGATCAAGGATTCCAGTATTCCACATTTAAAATCAGATGGCCTACAAATAAAGACATTTCACAAATAACATTGTTTTATTGCTGCTCCTTAAGGGAAAACATTTCATTAATGAAACACATAAAAGCACTAGTAATAGTAAAAAATACTTCATTGTGATGCACAACAATAGTCATCTCTTTTGCACAAACAAGCGGAACGTTTTTGGTTAATAAATGGCACATGATTCTTTTTTATATAATTTTTTCAAATGACAAAAAAGTAAAACAGTCATAAAGTATAAGATATTATTGAACATTACAAATCTTAAACCTTTTTTCTGGTTACCATGCAATAAAATTATTATTTTAATCAAGGAAGAAAAGATATAGAAATATTCTGAAATGATAAAATGAATGCATTTAAATGCAGCAAACATTAAATAATCTTATCATTTCAAGCCTGCAGAAGAAACCTAATTCCATCAAATAGTAAATTGTAAAGGCATGCTAAATACATCAATGCTTTTTTAAGTACAATTGGCACAAGAAGAAATACTTTTCTAATTTTACTTAGCAATTCATGGGACTTTTGTCTTAGGACTGTTTTACTAAAACTAGATGGTACCTACGGAAGGCACTTTTAGAGTAACCATCCATAAAAGGCCTGTTCCATAAAAACATACATGGGACTAAGGGAACTTGAATTTGCCACTTTGGGTTGTGTTATATACATTGTTGTATAGGTTTAAAATGTATGCATATTCTTAAATTGCATATGTACATCTATCCCTTTTCTTTTCTTAATTCTTAATTAAAATAATTATAGAATATCCTTTATAGCAATGGAGAGGGATAAAATTCAAGGTTTTATCTTATGATGCAAATAGATAACCTTAACATTTGACATTGCAAATATGATTTAATTATATCAGACAGATGGCTGACATTTATAATCATTTTTGCAACATAAGTAAAATTAGAAAATATAAATGAAAATTGATTGTTCTGTATGAAAATACTTTGAAATTTGCAAATATGATCATTTAGATCAGCAAAAAAAAAGTTTTGAGCTGATTTAGCAATACTCAATGCACCAAACATGTTGTTCCTTAAAACATCCATATGGCTAAAAAATTATTATGCTTATGAGCATTTGTTTTCTACTGACAAGGAGATATTAATTTTTCTTGACTTTTCTAATAATATCGATGAAGCCGACAAACGACATCAAACCTGAGCATTAATCATTTCTTTGATCCCTGTATGGTGTCATATCACTAGTACAAGTAACACTTCTTAACAGCTCTGCAGTAATTAAACAATAAAATGTTAATGAAGTTAAAATATTGAATGTTCTTCCTTTAGTACATTTTTGTTTAAGTGTTATAAATTTTATTTGCAAGAAAGAATGCATTACAGCTCAATTTCGACCAAAAAAAAGATTCATTCCAAAGATTTTTTTCTTTAATAAAATTCAAGAAAAAATAATAATGGTCTGGCCCGCATTTTCCTGCTAGAAAGAGTTAAAGATATTTTCAAATACAAATAAAGTTATATACACTAGAATACCATTTGTTTACTTCAGCAATGAGAAATGATAGATGATACCTCTTAAGCCTATTAACTTAAAAGCTGATCATTAGTTTAAGGTTTACATATTCAAAAAGTATGCATAATAGATTATGCTCCTTCTTTTGTGAAATTAAATTCAGCAAAGGAAAATGCAGTTTGGAACCAAATTAGTATTATATTGTTTAATGTAAGATTTCTCAAATTTGATAAATGTAATTAAATCATACAAAGATGTTTTTGTTTTAAATATTTCCTTTTAACATGTTATCCAGCTATGAAATGACTGTAACTATAGTAAAATGGCAAAAGTACAAAGTATTGATGGTTTAACTTCAAAATACCAGTGCTGAGAAATTATTTAAAGCACATTTCTTGTACAAAAAGATAATCATATAGTAAGTGTATTATCTTATTATCAGTTTCAAAATAAAGTTCTGTTTTTGGTAACATTTGTGGTCTATGTTTGTTTTGACAACATGTTCCTGAAATTATTCTGTTTGGTTTACTATGCTAAAATCTTGAAATTTGTACTTATAAACAAGTAAAATAGTAGAATCAAGCCTTAGTTAAATTATGAAGCCATTTTAAGAAGATAAGCTTTAAATAGTTTAACACATTTTTTCTATTTTTCATGAATTTACAGGACAAAATATTTTCCATTTGTACATTGCCATTCCATTACAAAATTATAAATGTGCACCATAGTTTAACAATTCTGGAAGTAAAACTTTTCATTGGATTTCAAACTGTCTAAAAAAAACTATTCAAAAAACAACTTTTACAATAAACAAATCTAAACATCAATATAGATACAAATCTAGCACTTTTTCAACACATATAAAAATATGAACACATCTTCTTTACTTGCAAATCATTGATAAAGTAAACACAATCTATCCAATGAACTATAGTAAGCTATAGCCAATCAACCATTGTAGAATCAGGGTAACTCTATAATGTGTATTTGCCTTTATTCAATGTTCTATACTTTTTCAATCAAAACATCAAATGTTCTTCGAGTATCTGTAACTCATCAATCATAACAAAAAAATCTAAATTGTTGAAAAATATGTTATAACTCATTGAAAGTTGTTGTAGATAACAAATTGAAAAAATGTCACACCTCAGTTTTTGTTTAAAACATAATTATTCAATCACTATGTCTTTAAACATATCTTCCCAAATGCAATACTCTATTTCAGTGACTTAAGTATTCATTCATGTTCAAATACCTAACTATTTCAATTGCAACATTCTAAGTCTTTCCAGTGTGTATAGCCTGCCTAGTTTATTAATATAAAAGCAAACTGCTTCTATAACAATGTACCAGGATAAGAATATGGTTAAGATTTTATCAACTTTGTAAATATGGTTATGGTGGTGTAGAATAACAATTACATATATCAATAAAACAACAAATTAAGAAAAAAACAAGTACTACAATAGATTAGTTATCAAAAATATATACATTGGCCAATTGGGTTGGTTAGTTTAGAAATATAAATAAAAAAATAGTTTACTTTATTCCAAACATAGTTGTGTCACATGTGAAAAGTTAGTGTTTTTATTCTCAGATGTAAATATGATATGTGTGTGTGCCAAAACCTGTTATTTGATTTTAAAAAGGTGTAGAAATTTTATATATTGTAAATAGTATTTTATTTCATATTGTTTAGTGTATCATATCTATGCATTTTAATAGTCTCTTATAATTTTGTGTAGAATGACTCTGATTTTATTTAGTATTGTTTTACAATGTATAAATATCGATTGTACTTGTTGAGAGATGAGACTTTAATAAAACATTGAATTGAATTGTGATCACTCCATTATTAATTATCATTCAACACAAACAAAAATCATCTGTACTCGACATGTTATAATAGTGAAATTTATCTTGCATGTGAGAATTCATTTGATACTATATTCACTGGGTTTATCAGTTGAATTTATCTTTTATGTCACAATTATATTCTGTATAACAATGGACATGACACTGTTGTGTTGTAATCTTATTTCCCATGGCAGTTTGGTTTTTATAAGTCTAAACATAATATACTATTAATTTAAGTTTTGAATGTATGCATCTATTGTCTTATGGGCAATTGTAATTGTAAGAGAAGTGACATTTTTGGTATTAGAATTACTTTGCTTACACTCTCAAGATTTATCCCAAAACTGACAAAATGAATTATATGAAAGATCAAATGCGTCCAGTTCATACTTTCCAAACCAATTAGAGGGAAACATTCATGATATCTAGAATTGGCAGGCAAAAAGCATTTAGATGTACGCAACTGGTTAGTTCACTTCAAATGTTATCCGTTACTATTGAAAAAATTGTTAGGTTTTAAAATCAATACTGTTCTGGTAAAATAGTTTGATTTTTTTGTCTTTTTTTTTACTTAACATTATGTTTACCTGAATTATTATTTTTTTTTTGTCAATACCATAATTTTATTTGAGTAACTCTTGATATAATTAAGGTAGAATTGATCACTTGCACGATAAACATGCAAGAGGTTTTAATTAAAAGTTGAAAGATTTTTTTATAATTTTCTCTAAAGTTAAAAAGTTAAACTTTTACTGTAAAAATAACCCAAGATTAGTACAATTAATTCATGTCAAACACAAGATATAAGAATATAGAACCAACAAGCTATACAGTACAAAAGTCATTTCTAAATGTTTAAGTAAAACAATAACTTAGAACAGGTTGGATATTTGATGAGTAAACACTTATTTCGATAAATTATTCTGAAGTTTCAATATTTATTCATAATTATGTTAATCGATTGATTGGCTGATTAGTGGCACTTTAACAACCTATTACCACAAAAGGACTTTGTCGCTGTAAGAGCCAGAAAATTACCCTATAACTACAAAGATGAATATGGTTAATGACAGAACTCCAAGATCATTGAATACCCTGAAGAAGCAACAGAGCTTAAGTTTCTTAAATAGTCTACATATAAGAATTCAATTAAACATCTTATTGTCACAAAAATCTAAGTCAACATTACATTTGCTCATTTGACTTTTTAACTATACTATGCAGTTGCCATTTTCAAATCTACCTGGTTAGTATAAATGTATATAAGAGCATGCAAGTCAGATATTTTGATTAAACATTTACTCATCTTTCTCAATAGAAGTGACAATTTTGTTGGCAGTACTATTATATACACAACAATTGTAGATGCAGAATCAAAGACATTTACTGTTATATCATGTGTCCTGAGCAAATACAAATGTAAATAAGTATAAAAGAAAATTTTTTTGTTAACAAACATTGAATGAAAGAAATATGTACTTTGTATTATGATCTCCAGAAGAAGGGGTTCTGTTGCAATCTTCGTTCAAAATTAGCATACCAAGTCTGCACTGTACTTAATGGAACATATGTTTCTGTGGGGTTTGGTGACATTTGTGCTTGAGTTTGTGTAAATGAAGTAGCAAAGTTGAAAAAGTTCTCTAACATTTTTCTTGAATATTCAACAAAAGTTTCAGCTGTGGAAACTGCAGCTTGTGGTGATGGTGTTTGCTGAGAAAGCTCCTCCAGAGTTTCTATAGAAAGGCCTATCTGTGCCATGTGAGACATGTGTGGTATACATTGGCCAAAAGGATTTGTACTATCAGTAGCTGCAATAAAAAAGAAAAACATTAGTTTTAGAATAGGTAAATGTGTTTAAATGCCTAAAACATACCAAAAGACATTTTCCTATAATCATGTGTACCATCAATAGTTACAAAAACCTGATGGCTCAAAAAAGCCTGTATTACTTACCATAACTTATTCTAATTGGCCACTCTAAAACCTTTTTAAGACCCTATTCATTATCCTAAAAGTTCATTTTCGGAAATTTTTCATTACATTTCATACCTAATCAGAATTAAGAATTACACATAGCTATGGTAGGAGTGCCCTGTTTTCCCGTGATTTTCCAATATTTTTTTTTATAATTTAAGGGGTCAATTCTTCTATTTTTAGTAATAGTGGGGTTAATGTTTTGATGACAAAATATGTCATCAACCATTAATTTTAAGGATGATTATAAATGCATTATCTAACAAAAAAACCAAGACGACAATAAAAACCATTGAGTCAAAACTCAGAGTCAAAGAATATAGACAAAAAGATAGACAACAATCTACAAACATTACATTTATCAATATGAATCCCATCAAAAACCAGGGGTAAACTCAGGTGATGCAAAATGGTCATCAGTTCCTGCTCCACTAGTACTAGTTGTACCAGCCCTGTTGCTTATCTAGAGATAAGACGACTTTGATGATTCCAGTCATCAGGAAAGGGGGACCGATTTGTGGCTACGACTAATGGAACATATCCGTGGTCAAATTTTCTATTTTTCGTAATGGTAAGGCCATATATGAGAGCTGTAGGGGTTATAAACCAAACGGGGATCACAAACTGCGGCAGATCAATTGGATAATTTTTGGAAAATGCAGCTGTCTAGGAACTCAATCCCCTAAAAATAAGGTCTTTGTTAAAAACTGCATTATAACTTGTAGTTTTCACTTTCTTATTCTTTGGTCAATAGTGGCTACTAGATCATTGGTAATCATACTACATCTCCCTTCTTTTATACAAATACATTAACTGTTCTTACCTGATTTGAGGTTTGTGACTTTAAAGATGGCACTTGGTTTTTGGTTAGCTATAACACCCAGTAATATCCACTGCTGGCCTGTAGGATTTGGGAAGGAGAAATAAACTGAAAACAAATTGTAAAATGCTAATTAATTGATATCAACTTATGGAAAATTACAATTACAATGAAACTGGATTAATCATTCATAATTAAATGTTACAACTAATTATATATTTCAGTTCTTAAGAAGTTATATGTGTGGAAAAATACAGGTTCATTGGAGAAACTATATATCTGATTTTTAACATTTCAAATTGTATGGTCCACTTTCTTTCTACAGGTATGAATCACCTTACATAGTAGGATGGCAAATGCGCTATATACAAATATACACCTGCACCCACTTAAAGCTCATATCAACACACAAAAGAACGTGCCACTAATCCACCAATTCATGCATATATATATATAAAACGGTAACGGTAAAAGCGTGCTGTACAAATACTGTGTTGTCATTTACATATTTATATATACATCGTGCATTACAGTGCAATCGGTTAAGACGGATGATAATTAATGCACTTAATGATCATCATTGCTCTTTGCCTAAAATAGTAGTTGTTATTATATGCTAGGTGTGCGGATATATACATTAGCTTTGTCACAACAAATCAGTAAGCTAAAAGTAATGACTTTTAATAATTGTCTGTCCAAAATTATAGGCCAATAATGAGTGAGAATTGAACACCACTTGCTATGAACTTTATTTAATTTCAATATAATAATAAATGAGCTGTTTTATACATCTTTGTACTTCAGTTTTATGGGAACAATTGTCCTATTGGCAATCATACCACATATCAAAGACTAGTCTTGCAAAAAAAATATGCAACACCAATACCATGAATACAGGATAGAACACTCTTTTGGAACCAACAGCATAAAACAAGTGAAATAGAGAGAACAAGGTCAGCATATATAATGAAGCCAAGTAAACAACCCACATTCTTATCTAAAATATTCATATCTGGCTTTCAAGGTTAATACAAAATAGTAGGGCTCATGCTACCAGGCTACTGAGGCGAAGAAGTCACTTTTCCGTCCTCTACTACACTTATCAACCTTCAAAAGCAATAATTAGTAATGGATTATTTTTGACATGAAAAGAGATATTGTCTTTTGAGTGATAACTGATATTGAGGATAAAACAGACATACACATGTAAGGTAAACGTTTGTGATACCCTTAGCCAACAACATTCAAAAAGTAAAGAGATGATTATGACTTTCAATTACAGTACTGGTAAGCTTAAAATAACCCTGAGAAACAATACAAATAAGAAAACAAAACTTGTGAATATCAATCTTGTATTTCATAAACTAATGTCTCAGACTGAAATGTAAGGAAAAACAACAAGCGATGCCGACTTAATCTGCACAGTAAGGAAAACTTCTATGTCTTCATCAAAGTTAATAAAAGGTAGTTGAGCTAAAGATCCTGCAGACAGCAAATCAGAAAATCAGAAAATAAAACCCAAAATAGACATGTACATGTATCAAGGTCTCAATCATCAAGAGTGTAGACAAGTTGTGAACGATCAGAAACAACTGACATGTCTGACATCAAGATATACAAGTAATGGACAAAAACATTTACATTTACACTGACTTTGGACAGACAAATAAACAATTTGCGAGTTTAACTTGGGTCACACTTACCTGCTCCACCATATCCATCAGGAAAAGGAGTTTGTCCTGTCAGAAATATGGCTATGTGATTAATGCTGTCAGCATCTTCTACATTAAATACAAAATGGGTTTCATTTATCTGTTGTACTTCAGCTTGCACCTGTAAATAGAAATTTATTGTTAATATATTAGTCAATATCGTCATTTATAGAGCTGAAACCAATTCTCTGTACCAACAACAAACTGTTGACATGTGCTCCATGTAATAACTACTTTTTGTGTGAACATGATCATTATGGTGAAAGGAAATACTTATTTGATCAATTTAAACTGTGCTCTCTTAAATTACGTAACTATAGGTCTACATGCCTCTGTCGTGTAGCATTTAGTTTATATATTTACATAAGACAACTAACTGTCTGATGAAATGAAGGCTTTTCTCTTTTACTTAATTCTAATCACTGAAATCCTGAAATTCTTCATTAAATAAATGTATCATTTTGTCATCATGGTCATTTTGTTACTTAAAACTAAAAATAAAATATATTTTGAATATTTTATTAAACTGATTTAACTCAGATATATGAATAAAGTACTTTCAATGTTAATGCAACATAAAATTGAGAATGGAAATGGGGAATAGAGAGTATGTTATTTCATCTTTTTATATCTCTTTGCTCAAGTGGTTAAAAGGTTGTTTATTAACATGATTAAGTCTAACAGGCAAAATCTATTGATAACTTAAATGACTGGCAATTGAGTGAAAGAATTTACAATCACAAGTAACTGACTAGGTGTTCAGTTACAATTCTATGCAATGATATTGATCAAAGATCAAAGGTGTTGTATTTCAATGAATAGTGTCAGTCACAATAGAATGGAAATAATTTTCTGATCATAATATATATACAATCTGCTCTGTATATCATGACTTGTACAATACAAATATACTAGACATGATAGTTAAATTTTCAAAGATTTAAAGTACTTAAATGGAATAACATTTATAACACAATGTACATGTACGGTATACTATACTATAAGAAAAACTGTAAAGAAGGGAAAATGCAAATTACTATCCTAATACAAGCACTTTTTTGCTTTGACATGTGTTTCAGTTTTGTCAACTTCAATTTCTTGTGTGTCAAGGTATGATGGATGGTCCAAATTGTCTAGTCAAAATTGTCAGAGTTGTTTTCACAGACAGTCCAAGTTGTCTTTGAATTAATGTATATTTAATTTTTTTACCCCTTACGATCGGTACCATGATTTCCCGAGAACTCCCAAGAATATTGAATATTGACCTGAGAACCGATAAATGTTACCCAAAAACTTTATTTTATATGGTGTTCTACTATTTTAATAGATATTAAAGTAAATAATTTTAAGATACAAGATGTTTTTCTCTCAATAAAAGTACAATTTTACTTCTTGAATTAGAATTGTGTGTCTTGTAGTGTATGCAAGTTCCGTGTGGATAACAATATGGCGGACGTAAATATTCAAAAGGTGGATAGCTCTACCTAAATAAAAGTATAAATCTTTTTTTTTTTTAAATTTAAGCTTTCCAAATGATGTATTTACTTTTCAATTTTCCATTATAACAGAAACTAATCCTTTTCCATTATTAAAGAAAACGATTCTTCAGAACTTTTTTACTCTTTTATTTAAAATACCTTTTGAATAATTACCAGATTACGTCCGCCAAATTGTTATGCAAGGAACTTGTAAACAAGAAAGTGAAATTATACTAACTTTTTTTAGAAAAAATGACTTATATCTCATGATCAAAATTATATACTTTAATATCGATAAAAGTAGTATGAAACTATGTTATTAAATAAAGTTTTTTCTGGTAACATTTATCGGTTCTCTGGTCAATATTCAGTTCTTGGGAGTTCTCGGGAAATCGTTGTACCCCTCACAATCGGTAGGTCTTTTCACCACCGAACACCACCGCACACCACCGAACTCCCCAAAAATTTTTTTTTTTAACTCTTAGTGTTATAAATGTGACCTAAATATAATATTTAAGTTATTAATTCAACAAATAATAAGGTTATAAGGTTAAGAGAACAAATATCTACATCGAACAGAAAAGGAGAGTCTATAACACTACAACTCTGCAAACCACCACTGGACACCTCAAATAATTGTTTTTCTTCATTTTTCTTCTTCTTTTATAAAATAGTTGTACCAATAACAAGAAAAGAGACATGAACAAATGTTAAATATTTCGGGAACTAATATCCTTCATCAGTAATTGATGTCAAATGATTCTTATACACACACAATGTAATCCGGAAAAATAGTGATGAATCCGGAGACGTTTTTCTTTATATGGATTATATTGATAATCGACTTTAACAGAAAAATGATGCATATAAACATCTAAACAAGAGTGCACACGCTGAAATGTCTCGCCTTCTTTACTAACCATTGATATTATGTTGATAGTCCTAAATGAAAGCTTTACTACAACTATTACATAAACTTAACATGATCCAAGAAAAGGAGGTCAAGGTCATATAAACCAAACGAGAAATACATGTACACCTTACAATCATTCAATACACTAAATATAGTTGACCTATTGCTTATAGTTTCTAAGAAACAGACTTAACCAAGAAAACTAAACATTGACCAATGAATCGTGAAAATGAGGTCAAGGTCAGATGAACCATGCCAGGCAGACATGAACAGCTTACAATCCTTCCATACAACAAATATAGCTGAACTATTGCTTATAGTTTAAGAAAAACAGACTGAAACACATAAACTTAACACTGAGCAATGAACTGTGAAATGAGGTCAAGGTCAAATAAAACCTGCAAGACTGACATGTACATCATAGAATATTTCCATACACCAAATATAGTTGACTTATTGCATATAGTATAAGAAAAAAGACCAAAACTCGAAAACTTAACTTTGACCACTGAACCATGAAAATGAGGTCAAAGTCAGATGACACCTGCCAGTTGGACATGTACACCTTACAATCATTCCATACACCAAATATAGTAGACCTATTGCATAAAGTATAAGAAAAACGGACCAAATCACAAAAACTTAACTATAACCACTGAACCATGAAAATGAGGTCAAGGTCAGATGACACCTGCCAGCTAGACATGTACACCTTACAATCATTCCATACACCAAATATAGTAGACCTATTGCATACAGTATAAGAAACACAGACCAAAAACACAAAAACTTAACTATAACCACTGAACCATGAAAATGAGGTCAAGGTCAGATGACACCTGCCAGTTGGACATGTACACCTTACAGTCCTTCCATACACCGAATATACTAGACCTATTGCTTATAGTATCTGAGATATGGACTTGACCACCAAAACTTAACCTTGTTCACTGATCCATGAAATGAGGTTGAGGTCAAGTGAAAACTGTCTGACAGGCATGAGGACCTTGCAAGGTCATACATACCAAATATAGTTAACCTTTTACTTATAATAAGAGAGAATTTAACTTACAAAAAACCTTAACTTTTTTTTCAAGTAGTCACTGAACCATGAAAATGAGGTCAAGGACATTGGACATGTGACTGACGGAAACTTCGTAACATGAGGCATCCATATACAAAGTATGAAGGATCCAGGTCTTCCACCCTCTAAAATATAAAGCTTTTAAGAAGTAAACTAACGCCACCGCCGCCACCACTGGATCACTATCCCTATGTCGAGCTTTCTGCGACAAAAGTCGCAGGCTCAACAAAAATTGTTAAATTAGACGTAATTTAATTGATTTTACCGTTTTATTGTATAAAATCACTGATTTTCTCAGTGGTTGATGGTTTTTTGGGTGTTCGTGTGTGGCGGTGTTCGGTGGTGTTTGGTGGTGAAAAGACCCACCCCCTCACAATTGTCTGAAAGTCATTTACAAATCTATAGTTTAATTACATGCCATTAACTCTGATTTACGTCCCAGAGGGTCAGAGTACACAGTTATCGTCCTTTGATTTTCGTTGTCCACAAATCTAGTCCCTAGTGTGGACAGTGTGTTACTTGCCAGTTTTTTTTATACCCCTTCCAAATTTATTTCTCCATGTTTTATGCCTCAAATAGCAAGTAGGGGGATGAAATTACACTGTAAAAAAAATTTGGGTCATGAATTTTAAAGTAAAGTAGTGATTTGGTCCAGCTGAAAAAGGTTAAAAATTAGCACTTCGGAAGCTGTCAAAAGATTTGAAGACCCCCTTAACATAAAATTGTCCATATTTTGAGTTAGAGCCGATGAAGTTTTCTATACTTTTGATATAATTTGTCCCAAAAGTAGTACAACACACTGTACGAATATTATTGAGAAAGCGCAGGTGGGATTTTTTTAATTTTCATTTATTGTCTAAAAGAAATGCACTACGAAATAACTGTGTACTCGGACCTAAGAGGTGAAATCAGTAAATATAGAATCTGTACTTTGGCAACTTCCCTGAATGATTTGATGGTTTCAATTTGTCAAATAGCATGAAACTAAAGGATTTAAACTTTTATTTGATAGAATTTCTGCAAAAATGACCAATTTTGGCATTATATGGTCAAAATAAGCATTTCATAGCTTTTTCAATTTTGATGCATTAGTGGCATTCTGACTTTCTATCTGATAGGTTTTCATGTGTCAATATTTGTGTTTCTATGCTTTAATCCAGTTGTATTACTCATTTGTGAACTCTGAATCTACAGAAAAGAAGATTATCTCAGACAATATGTGCAAAATGTGTTGTATTTATATAAATAACCCTCGTCTAACACCTTGTTTGGATCAAGTTAATTGTGAGGAGTTTGGTACATAAAAGTTGAAGTCCATAATAAAGACCTCACTAAATTTGTATAAAAAGCACTTTACAATGTCTTCTGTACCTGTTTCATTTCATATAATATCTTTCTTTTCTTCTGTAGGATAGCAAGATGTTCAAATATAAGCCTGTTGAGACTAAAATTGCATGCAAGTTTTTCACTAAAAAGTGAAAAATCTTTGTGTCAGACCATACTGTCTGCAAAAAGAGTTGAATGCAAGTGTCTTTTTGTGCTCAGATTTATTGTATCAGGTCACCTGAGTATAGAAATGATAAAAAAGACACAAATTTTTATTTCCTATAGCTTCAATATACATTTTTAAATGTAAATATGTGCTACGGCCTAAATTGACCCTAAATTATTTTCAGTCTTACTTGGCCTAAGACCCTTTAAAACTAATATGATATGCTATTTGTAATTTTTCTTTCCATTTAAAGTACATTAAATACATATGTAAGGATTATTTATAACCAAAAAGCTTCACAAATTTAAAATTGCAGGAAAATATTACATCTTCATGTAAGGCCTCCCTTCATTGGAAAACCTCCATTTTTAGGCACATGCTCATATAAATTTGACTTTTGAATAATTATGCTAAGTCTGATAAATCAAATGAGTACTCTATTGCTTTAATACATAATACATTATATATTAAGGCATTTAAAAAGTATTTTTTTGCAATATTTTAATTTTTAAAGCCCCAAATGTTGATAGTTGAAATTTTTCAATTTTAACGTCAAAATTTAACACGCAAAGTTGAATATAGAATTTATCATATTGTTTATTATATATATCCTATTGCCATTCAACTTTGTAAGCAGTGTTATAATTTATTAAGCTTTGGTCATACCAAGTTTTATTAAGATTGGTCAACTTTTTCTATCCTATTAGGTCCGAGTACACAGTTATCGTCCTTTGATTTTCGTTGTCCACAAATATAGTCCCTAGTGTGGACAGTGTGTTACTTGCCAGTTTTTTTTATACCCCTTCCAAATTTATTTCTCCATGTTTTATGCCTCAAAAAGTAAGTAGGGGGATGAAATTACACTGTAAAAAAATTTGGGTCATGAATTTTAAAGTAAAGTAGTGATTTGGTCCAGCTGAAAAAGGTTAAAAATTAGCACTTCGGAAGCTGTCAAAAGATTTTAAGACCCCCTAAACATAAAATTGTCCATATTTTGAGTTACGGCCGATGAAGTTTTCTATAATTTTGATATAATTTGTCCCAAAAGTAGTACAACACACTGTAAAAATATTATTGAGAAAGCGCAGGTTGGATTTTTTTAATTTTCATTTATTGTCTAAAAGAAATGCACTACGAAATAACTGTGTACTCGGACCAGAGTACATGCATGTTATCTTAAATCTGGGGTGCCTAAAATTAAGGAGATTGGTAAACCAGTATCATGAGTATTGAGATTGTGAAGTACGGGATATCTGAAGAAACATACATAAATTAAAATATATAAAATGTTGAGGTGCCTCAGGTGGAGTAGTTCTGTTCAAGCTATATCTCACAATTTCTATTAATGAACGGGTTTTTGTATCACATTTGGAAAAATTGTTCCAACTTTAGTTCTAGTTAGGTTCTTTCCATGTTAATTATTAGCTAAGATCTGGAAAACTATAGTCGCTGTCATGTTAAAATGACACTGATATTTTGGTTGATATTTTAAACAATCAACCAAAATCCAGGGGCCATTTATTCAATGACGGCCACTATAGGTTGGAATATAAATTTGGATGTTGACCTTTTTCTATGAGGTTTGCATGTCATCTATATTATTATATGGTAAACCAAATAGTCTGGAAATTTCTGGAAAACCCATTTCAGTGAGGATCAATAATGCACACAAGAAAAATTTGGATGAATGATGACGCCGTGAATATATGTACAGGAATACGCATATTTTTATAGGTCGGCAAGAGAAGCAATATGAAGAAAATTACCAGACGTCCTGGTATTAACAATCCAAACATTTCTAGTTCAGCTCAAATTTCGTTTTGTTGTTCTTTAATGCCAATGTCAATGTTGATTTTGTTATTTCTGTATTTCTCGTATTCATTCTAAGCGCAAAAAGGATGACGACTTGTTTTCTAAACCGAAAATCAAAACCGTCAAGAAGACAAATTTTATTTTTAAAAATTTTTCCTAAATTTTGTTCTGGATGTTATAATGTATCAATTGAAAATAAAATTGTCGTAGTTTTTATATGCGGCTAAAAGTATTTGTAACATGAAATTTCTGGGTGGTCATTATTTTTTTTTGTATTTACATCCCTTTTGATAGCCTCTATTGGGTAGAGATGTATGATCTGTAACAACGAATTTGAATGGCTATGGAAAATATTCCGCGAAAAAAGAGGAAATTTGGAGAACTAAATTACAAGTCCTTCATTCTTGATAAAAATTGTAATTAATCTTGTTTCCTTGTTTCTGTCACATTGTTTTAATTCTGTCAGGATACACACTTATTTCAACGAGATTGATTAACATAAAATAAATATGCAAATGACCTCTGAATTACACGAAGATGTATTAACCAATCACAAAATTGTTTACTTAATAACTATTCACATGTTACACGTGGTGATTCAGACCGGTGCCGTGGTAGTGCTTACAACATCGTTTGAATACAGAACAGAATTTACTATGTTGAACGAGGATTTTTAGATTACAGTATAAATACAGCCTCACAGGATGTTCACAGACAACGTGGTGACAATGCCAAGGTTTTTATTTATGACACCCATGCATTCACATTGAAAAAAATTACATATATGCACGTGTAAAACACATGTAATACTAATAGTTACTGGGCAGTGTTGGAGCATGGGTAGATTATTTTGAGAATGCATGACACTCGGTTAAGTAGTATTCTAAAGATATGGTGTATTCCATCTGAGACTATCGTAACACATATGTGTTGTAGTAGTCTCACATTCCATGTTAATACCTTATTACTTTCATAAATTTAAGAATATGGAAATGTGGTAGTTATGATTGACTAAGAGTGCTGCCCTAATCATGACCAGATGTGGAAAGATTGGGCATTTGCCAAGGAGACAACTATCAACCATGAACCAAAGGTTTGGATGAAAATAGCTACAGCCTTACAGGTCACCATAAGGCTTTTCAACAATGAACAATCAAAACTCATTCTTTTAAGGTTCATCATAACCTTTTGGCAAATATGATCGTATTGACACCACAAATTCACTCTTGAGTACAGACAAACCTGCAAAAAAAAATTGAGGATGTCTCATTGACATTTAACATGTTTTCCCCAATCTGAATCTGCTTTCATACACATGAGTCATGAGAGAGAAAAAAAAAACTAGCCTACATGTAAGAAAACTGTAAACAATGGAAAAGAAGATATATTAATTATGAGTGCCTTCATAATATTTTTTTGCCTCTATTCTAAGTTACAACAGAAAATCCCTAACAAACCAAAAGGCGTCTATCCCTTTTAGTCACAAAGTGACCTTGAACACAGAGCATGGATCACAGCATTACAAGTAGACCCATCACTTTAAATGTTAAGTTTTGGGTTTGTAGTAATGCAACAAAAAAAAAGAATTTATAGCGTGAGCATTTTCCTTATTTAGATGCTCTTATATAATTTCTAACATTTTATTAAAATAAATGGAAATGTATATCTGTGCAATATACAAACAAGGAATGAGACCAATTGATTGGTGCTTAACTTCACTTTCAGCAAAATTGGCTATTTCGTGGCCGTCAGTTTTTATTGGTAGAGGAAGCGGGAGTGCCTGGAGAGAACTATGACATTTGGCAGGAAAACTGACAATCCATGTCAATTAAGATTGGAGTCAAGCACACCTGCAATGAGCAGGTTAGAACTCACAACCTCAGTGTTGACAGGCTAGTGATACAGTAGTTGGACTACTTAGACCACTTTACATTCAATGAATTATGGCGCTGAGATACTTTTATGTTTTGCTTTGAAAATATAAATCTTTGATTATGATCATGACAATATTCATGATATTCAGTAATGCAGTGCTGCTCAGTATCCATTCAGTTTTTCAAACATCAGAAGATTAAAAAATGGAAGCACAGTATGCATTTAAATGCACAATATATTTTGTCCTTCATATCACTTGACCAGCATGATTAAATCTTCTATAATGTTTTACAGTGCCTGGTGTCTAGACAATATACTACTGAAAGATGTCTCACCAGAATCATGGAAATATTCCCCAGAAAGAAATACAAATGATACAGAATACTACATATTTGAGGAAGCAGGAATTGACAGGTTTGATAAAAAAAAGTTACTTACTCTCTGACACTTTTAATGCTCAGAACTAATAAAGTTTAAGATTTGAGACTACAGGGACTACAGTGATATTTTTTTTTCTTGAGGAAGCATTTTTAAAAGCATTACAAGTAGACCCACTACTTTAAATGTTGAGTTTTGGGTTTGTAGTAGTGCAATATAAAAAAAAAAGAATTTATAGCGGGAACATTTTTATCTTAATTAAGATGCTCTTATAAAATTCCTGACATTTTATCAAATTAAATCTACAAACTAGGAATGTGACCAATTGATCATAAGGATCTTGAACTCTACAGAACATTCAATAAATTATGGCACTGAGATATATATGTATGATTTATTTTGAAAGTTCATGATCGTGATGATGTTCAATAATGTAATGCTGCACAGTATCCACTCAGTTTAAGGTTTATCATAACAAATGGTCAAATTGCAGTTTTTACACCTCAAAAAAATTACTCAAGAGTAAAAAAATTTGCGCTCGTATATTGGTATGACGTTGGCGCCGTCGTCGTCGGAAGACACATTGGTTTTCGCACTATAACTTTAGTTTAAGTGAATGGATCTCTATGAAATTTTACCATAAGGTTCAATACCACAAAAGGAAGGTTGAGATTGATTTTGGGGGTTATGGTACGAACAGTTAAGGAATTAGGAGCCAAAAATAAGCATTTTTCTAGTTTCCAGACAATAACTTGTGTAACGGTGTATGGATCTCTCTGAAATTATACCACAAGTTTCCATACCACAAAGGGATGGTTAGGATTTGCTTTAGGGGGTTACCATTTGGGAATTAGGGGCAAAAAAGGGGGAAAAACAAGGGTGTCCTGGTTAATGGACTAATACTTTAGTACAAAACATAATTTAAAGCAGTGTAAGGGAGGTAATCCAAATACAATGTTTTGATTACCTCCCTTACACCGCTTTTAAATTATGTTTAAAGAAATGCATATTTATAAAGGAAGACCAGTAAAAATATCTGCAAATGTTGCATTTTTTTTTTTTTTTACAAAAAAATCTATATGAAAGATTTGACACCATATCTTAAATTCTATTATGAAATAGATTAAGTTAGCACTATGGTAAATTTAAATGGGTAATTATGTAATTATGACTGCAAACTCCATTGGAAATTTGAATTGAGATTATGACCATATCTTGAGGGAAAGAATTTTTTTGGGGAAAAAAGGGGGGGGGGGGGGGGGGGGTAAAAAGAAATTGTGGGGGGTCAATTTTTTCTCATTTCAGATTTCAGAAATTAAAAAGAAAAATTCTTCAATTATTTTTTTTGTGGGGGGAGGGGGGGTCAATTTGCAACAGCAAAGTGTATTGCACAAAAGCAAAAAATTGAATATAAATTCAAATCATATAACCAATTCTAAGTTCTTTGACTACAGTTATTCTGTGTCAGAAACCTTTTATGTGTCAAATATTTATTTACAATACAAATTCAGACCTGTAGCAAGCGCGAATATTGCGTCCATTTTTGCCCCAACTGTTCAGGGTTGGACCTCTGCTGTCGTATCCAGCTGTGCTTGGCGAAGCAATTTATTATTTATGGTCATCAATTAGAACAAAAATGAGTTTCTGTATGTTGTTCAGATAGTATCTTTTTAAATTTCTTTCTATATTAATGCATGTTTATGTATATATATATTTCCTGTAGGGTAAGACAGTTCCATGATTACTGTAATGTTGGTAACCTGTCAACAGGAACCAGTGTTGCTAGTTCTGAATGTAGTGATGACCTTTACCTTGACGTTGATGCTGATACGGAAGCTGACCTGTTTGGTGACCTTGCATCATCTGTCCTCAGTATTATACAAGATATCAAGGACACAGGTATTGAATTATTTAAAAATTTTTTTTGATACATTGAGCATTGTTCAAGAGTGCACTGTGGAGAACACTTGAGCATTTTTTATAAGCATGGTATCCTGCAAGTTTTTCTGCAGGGTCTTTTTTGCTGTCCTCTGATTGAATTCCTTCTTCAATATTGTATTTTATTGCAACATTTTCAGTATGCAGACTACATACATATCTTGCACTCCTGGTGCCGTTTATAACACATTAGTGGCCAACTGAAAATTTGTGTGTCACCATTAAAAATTACTCAAATTGGCTTCTATGAAAAGGTAAAGAAAACTTTATATCTTTTGTGATGCACATTTGGTTTGCTCCTTTACTTTGTAGTATTAGGAGTATGTGTAAAATGTGCCAAAATAATTATCCATCTGATAACTACTTGTGTATGTTATACTCTGGTTTTAACACCTGGATACACAATTAAAATTTGTATTTTCTGATGTCAATTTTGCCTAGAATGCTGGATTCTTTTGCCATACATTGCTTCCTCAAGATTTTTTTGTGGGATTGTCAGTTTTAAAGAAAACCAACTTAAGAACATTCATTCAAAGTATGTTTGTCTGCTTAGGTTAACTTGTGTCCATGAATTGCTGTCAAATTGAAATTCACTTACATCTTTTAATCTGCTAATTCATAAATCAGAATATAATTTTTTTTTGTGTTTTCTCAGTTTGGATTTGCCATATTGGTTGATGAAAATGTGATTTAAACAATCAGTTCACCATTGTTAATCTCTAAGAGTTTTGAAGTTGCAGAGAAGATTATTACGTTTAGTGTTTAACCTCAAATTTCAATTTATAGAAATAGTGAAATGCAATATAGTTGCAGGTTCACAGAAAATAATTCTTATAAAGATAGCCCTCTAAAGGATATAATCATTTTGGATTGGCCCAATAGGTTCAGTTATTGATATTTTTTTAGACACAATGCAGGGGCAATAGTTGCTCTGTATTAAATCCAAGTGAGCAAAAAAAAAAATCATTTGCATTTAGAGCAGAGAGGCTTAATTTATTATTTTATAAAACTTGCAAGTAGTCGATGAGGTAGGCATTAAGAATAACTGTTTTAAGATATATTTTTTTTAGATCCTATTTTGAACATTTTTCTTACCTTGCCTATAGTAATGAATCATTTTAAGCTTTAATTATGTTAATATTATGCACATTTGGTTTGCTCCTTTACTTTGTAGTATTAGGAGTATGTGTAAAATGTGCCAGAATAATTATCCATGTGATAACTACCTGTGTATAGATCTGTTATACTCTGGTTTTAACACATGGGTACAGAAATTGAAATATATATTTTCTGATGGCAATTTTGCCTGGATTAGCACCATGCTGCATTTTGGACAAGCATTGTGTCCTAGAGATTTTTGGTAGGATTGTCAGTTAGAAAAAGAACCAGTTTATGAACATTCTTGCAAAATCTGCTTGTCTGCTTTGGTTTTAATGTGTTGCTGTCAAAATGAGATTTACCTCCATATTTTAATTATATGAAAATTTGACTTGCTTATTTTAAATAGGAATCTAGATTTAATTTTTGTACTTTCTGTTTATGGTAAACTGTGAAGGGTGGCCATATTGGTTGATGGAAAGTTGATTAAATGATCAGTTCATTAACATTAATATCTTAAATTGTGAAGTTGTGGAGAAATACTTATTATTAGTGTTTTATCTCAATCTTCTTTTATAGAAATAGAATAGTGAAATGTATTATAGTTGCAGGTTCACAGAAAATAATTCTCGTCAGGAAATCTGTACAAAATAAAATTAATTATGGCAATATTTGGTACAGATTGGCCTGATAGTTTCAAAGAAGATTTTTAAAACTTTAAACACTGGCATACTACATAATAATGAAAAATACCAACTTTTAACAATGCACATTTGGTTTGCTCCTTTACTTTGTAGTATTAGGAGTATGTGTAAAATGTGCCAGAATAATTATCCATGTGATAACTACCTGTGTATAGATATCTTGTACTCTGGTTTTAACACATTGATACACAATTAAAATTTCTTTCCAAGTTCCTGATCACAATTTTTGCCTGAAAGGACACCATACTGCATCCTTTTGACATACATTAATATTGCATTCTAAAGGTTTTTAGTGGGATGGTTTAAAAAGAACTACATGTAGTTTATAAACATCCCTGCAAAATTTGTTTGTCTGCATTGGTTAACTTGTGCTCATTCGTTATTGTCAACTTGAAATTCATCTATCTTTTAATCATATGAAATTGGACATGATATGTGATGGGCATTGAATCAGAATCCATTTTTATGCCCCAGCCGATTGGCGGAGAGGGCATTAAGTTTTACCCTGGTCTGTCTGAACGTACGTCCCTAAATTGGTTTCTGTTTTTTAACTTTAGTTTGCCTCAACCAAATGTTGACACAATGCTTATTACCACCAAACACAGATCAAGTTCGAATGTGTGTGGCGTCACTTTCACTGTTCTCTAGTTATGTCCCTTTATAGATGTAAAAATTGCTGAATTTGCTGTTTCCACACTCTTAACTTTACTTTGCTACAACTAAATGTTCTGAACTTATACACAATGCTTATAACCACCAAACATGGATAAAATTTAAATTTGGGTGGCGTCACTTGTACTGTTCTGAGTTGTGTCCCTTTTCAAATGAAAAAATTTGTGAAATTGCCTTTTCTGCACTCTAACTTTACTTTGCCTCAACCAAATATTATGAAACTTATACACAATGCGTATTACCATTAAACACAGATCAAGTTGAAATCTAGGTGGTGTAACTTTAACTGTTCTTGTGTTTAGCCCTTTGTAGATGGAAAATTGTATAATTTGCTGTTTTGCGCATTTTGGTCGGGTTAGTGTAGCACAGTCCTTAGTTTTCTATGTTGTGTTTTGTGTACTGTTGGTCTTTGGTCTTTTTCTTTTTTAAGGCATGGCGTTGTCAGTTTATTTTCGACTTATGAGTTTGAATGTCCCTTTGGTATCCTTCACTCCTGTATCACTTTGAACTGAGTTGTGCCTCTTTATTACTGAAAAAATTTCTTTTGTCCAAACTGTACCCGTTGTATATACCGACCAAACTTTTCATTTCCACACTCAAAAGTTTGAACATTAACTAGCGCATATTTACATCGGGGGCATCTGTGTGTCATGGACACATTCTTCATTTATTTTAAATCTATCATTAATGACAGAAGCAGACCATCAATTTGATATGACCATGCATATTTTTATTGTTTTCCCAGAAATCTCAAAAATCCTTTGCCATTCTAATCCAAAACAGAGAATTAAATTTTACCTTATTGTTATATAGCTAGGTAATAACAGCAACATGATGATTGGACATTATCCTAGTATCAATGATGGATGTAATATTCCGCCCCAGTCTGATTGCTTATCATTACTATGTCATAGTTACTTGTGTTGTAGGTTTCCGTAAGTTGAGCTTTTTATACAACCAGAAAAAAATATCATGTGGTGTCCAACCCTCCCATACATTTGTTTCCTACAATAGCCCATAGGCAGTTAAAGGTGGTCATAATGGTTGATGGAAAGGGGATTAATTGACCAGTTCATTGACATTAATCCGTGGTTGAAGTTTATTAAGTAAAATAAATCTTGGTAATGTTTGATCTCAATGTTCTATGAAATAGTGAAAAGTATTGGATACTTTCTTTCAAGGTCATAGAATGTAATTCTTATCAGGAAAGTCTTCTAAAGAATAGACGGGTTTATCTGTAATTGACCTAGAAAACATGGGCGCATCCATTAACCTCTCACGTGACCGATCCGCCATTACAACCGTGAAAAATAACGCACATGTATTGATCAAAACATTATCGATTTTCTGTTTACATTTGTATTTCTTTCATTTTCTGATTTATTTTACTATGGATGCTGCCAAAAGTTATAAAAAAACATGGAAGCATTTCTTGTGCAGTTAATAGTTGTACAAATAATCGTAAAAAACTTCAGGTGTGGAAAAAATCAATATGCGAATTACACAACGAGTTGCACGATGACTGCTCTCGTTTGATTTCATATACGTCTTATGACTCTGATGCCTCCAGACGAGCCAACAAATCTGAGTGGATCAAAGCCGTATAAACCTAAAAAAACTTTGCATAAACAGGTTTTTGTATGGTCCGGACATTTTTTTTTAAATAAAACTTGTTATGAAAGTCAAATAACACTGGCTGACGAATGTTTACACGATGTGAAACGATTGTTAAAAACTCAAATTAATCTATAAAATTTAATCCGATGACTACAGTGCATCTGCCTCTTTTTGTATAGAAGATCCACCGCGACATCAGATGCGGATCATGGAATTTGAAAAAAGGGGGGGGGGGGGGAGATTGGTTGCGTGCCCCAAACTTTTGCAGTGGAAGCGGTAAAATGTCTGGTTTAACCATAAATGAAGCTAATAACAATGAAACCTACCCCGAGGCTACATGTAAACTTAAAGGTTTTATATATATATATGTAGGTCTGTGTGCCGTATAGTATATATTCACTTTATTTTCTTTATAAGACGTATACAGTTACTTCTGTTGATTTGAACTTTCCTCAGTAGATTCTTCTGTGCATGAATTCTAAAATTTTATACATTAGAAAGGATTTTTCAAAGGTCTAACTCTTTTGGTAATCAAATAGTTTACTAGAACCTACGAAAGAGTAGCTATAATCCGACAACCCGAAATTCCGACTGTTCAGTAAAATACACCCCTAATCACGGTTATATTGCAATACTGTATTATATACACCGGGGACTTATATAAGAGTCTAATACGGATTAAGGATGAAAATCTACTATACCTCTGTTTTGGAGTGGTTGGGAGGGGAGTTGGCAAAACACTAAATGACGCTTCAAAACATAACTAATCATCGCTTTGAATTTACATGGAGTCTTTGGTGGTTTAATGGCATTCATTTATATTAAGCACGGACTGGAGCATGATGTTATATACTATACATACTATAGTAA